TTCTATGAGTCCCGGATGACCGCCAGAGTTCCCTGTCACTCAGAATTCTTGTGTGCTCGCGAGAAGATTCTGGGAACAGATCCTCTGACGACACCGGCTGATATAGCCGGTGTCACGTGGGTCACAGGTGACTTTGTTGTTATTGGTACTCGAGCTGCGCATGCGCGCAATGGACATATCCAGTGCTTAAAGCACCGCCTCTGGCGGTCATTCGGGACTCATAGAACCGTAGTTACAGCCGTAACTATCGATTATGGGACTTTTTCAAAGACTTAAATACAATTAGAGATTTTCTGCAACCAGTAGGTCCCCCCATGTTAGTCATTAGAAAGAATGCAAGGGCACTTTCCTGTGAGCATGCAGATATTCACATGTTTTTATTAGCTCAAATAAACACTAGCATGGCCGTACACTTTTGGTCTTCTGTAAAGATACACCTTGAAAACACATTCAAACAATGCTTTATGTCTGGTCTCACATCTCATAGCTTTTGCTGAGACATTGGGGGTCTTTATTCAAAGTGATTCAATCCAATTTGGCGATCAAGGGGGACATTCATTTACAGGTAGGGAGCCTGATATGTAAGCCATAAAATTAATGTAAAACAAACAAAAGGAAACATCAGGGACGTATTTGAGGAACAACTCTCTGATACATTTAAACACATCTAGATTCACGTTTGACAGTCTTGCAATGAACACGGAAAATATTTCATCAGGGTTTATGTCATCCTCCGACTTGCAGTTTGTATAGTCTGTATAGGAAGAGAGGCATATTCAAAAAGTGAAAATGAGAGTCAAAAAAATACAGCACATATTGAATTTAGGGCAACATTGTATACAAAGTTATTTGAAAAAAAAGGATAGGTAACATCCCGTGCTCATACTGCCTATTTTTAATCAACCACATATATTTATATGATTATTCAAGTCCTTATCTTATCTTACACCTGATAGGTTTAAAGTCTCACCATAATCTGAGTTGAAAAGCTGAGGCTTGGCCCAGCCGAGACACTTTGCCTGTGTCTCAAACTCCTTCATCTCCTCAGCACTGACGGTCTTCCTCCTGCCTGTAGAGGAGGGAACATATGTCACATAAAAGCGTAATTTGTTGAGTGTTTTTCTTTTGGTGACTCCTTCTGGTTATTTCCCATATTGCAGAAAACATTTAATTCTAGTTCCCACGTGTTCATCCTGTGCAATCCTTGGTAACCATGGTGACTTAAATGTTCTTCTAGCGCCATCAAAAGGTTGAGTTTCCATTTGTGCTTCTCATGGTTTATGACCAACATATCTGCAACACTAATGACAAAACCAACAGTCTCAGCAGTTTCATGTGTTAAGTGCTAGTTAGCAAATGTTAGCATGCTAACCCTCTCTGAGATAGTAATCATTACACTTTACCTGCTTAACATCTGCATGTTCCCATCCTTACCTCAAAAATACAACCTCACAGAGCCACTAGTTTGTCATTCATTTCATCATCTAACTATCATTACAAATGTCTTCCTGCATTGGGTAATAGTTTCATTTTAACCCTTAGATGCACGAGTGACTGGACCCACACTCTTCCATAAGTGGGTCAAAAAGGACCCATATTAGAAAAATAGGTGTTTTTGTGCAATATTTGTCATTTTGGTTAAGAAAAATAACTTTTATATATTTAGTATTATATTTTTGGTTCACACAAGAAATATTTTATATTAAATGTTTTACTATTTATAATTTTCGAAAAAAAATTACATTTGAAAAAAAAACGTTTTGAACATATTCATGCAAAGATCAAACCCTCTCTTACCTGCCCTGCAGCTGAACGACCTATCCTACCTTTATTTCCTCCCACCTTGACTACTGTAACTCCCTTCTCTACGGCATCCGCTCCCCCTCCCTCGATAGACTCCAAATTGTAAAAAACATAGCCGCCCGACTCCTCACACACTCCAGATCATGGCACACATGTCCTCAAAGACCTTCATTGGCTTCCCGTCTCCCAACGCATCAACTACAAAATACTGGCCCTCACCTATAGCCCTCCACCATCTGACACCCCCCCCCCTATCTCACTGGTCTTCCCACCCCCTACCAACCCCCGCGGTCCCTCAGATCCACCTCAGCCGGTCTCCTGTCCCCCCCCAAGTCCAAACTAGGCAGCATTGGGGACAGAGTCTTTTCAGTGGCATCTCCCAGGATCTGGAATTCCCTCCCCCGAGATCTCCGCTATTCTGAGACTCCCACAGTATTCCAGTCCCTTTTCAAAACTCATCTCTTCTCCTCTGTCTACTCATAGCCCACACCCCATCAATCCATGCTGGTTGATCAAGTTTGATAGTCCTATACCCCCCCACCCTAACCTTCCCTTATATTGTAAAGCGATTTTGAGTCCTTGAAAAGCCCTATAAAAATATAATGTATTATTGTTATTATTATACTGACAGGTATCAGATCTTGCTGTGTAAAATAATCTTCCTGAGAGGTGTCACTTGTGATGTAGTCTGTGTGGTCTACAGTGAATGTATTCCTGACAGCAACAGGTGATAAGAATCAAAAGTTCCCATAGGATTCCATAGAAAATGCATGCGGGTCATTGTTGACCCACTTATGGAAGCTTGGGGTACAATTTCTTAAAATGTATACAATTTCAATTTAAAATTTGAATGGCATGACATCCAACACATGTTTTTTGAGGAATAGCTGGAATATGAAATGATAAACATTTTTAATTACAAAGATACTTCAAGAAAACCACCTCACCGGGTCAAAAAAGACCCACTTATGCATCTAAAGGTTAAGCTATATCTTAATGTGTATCACCTCAATTGAAAATATTATTACATAGTTTTTCATTTTAGTTTACATTTTTAAATGTTTTTCTCCTTACTGATTAGCCATATGTAGGCGGCAAATTGGTGATCGTGCTTCAAAACGACACAGTCAGGACAGCCACTCTGCAGCAGCACCACTGGTTCATCAAATGGGCGATCTGTTGGAAACACTTAAAGCATATGGATGGTAATAATTAAATAATTTACATGAAAACTATCACTTTATAATCACATAAACACTACATCTTATCCAGATGTTGAAAATATATATAACATACAGTAATTCAAATCATTGTTTGTGGATGATATTAAAAACACAGTGTAGAACATGTAATATATTAAAAACAAGTCTTTAGTTTCAAAATAGGGATTTTAAGAAGATAATTAAAGAGCATTGGTCCTTAAACAAACATCTTACATTTGCCAGTGGATGTGCTGTTCCCATGCACAAATCCATCTCCAGATTCGTTAAAGCATGTTCCAACCCTGAAAAACATGTTTTAAAGATTTAACTGAAAGAACATCCGCGCAAGACATGTTGATGTATGAAGCACAAATATTAAGTAGACAAATACAGAGTGATATGCATCAGATTCATGTGGATAATGAACCACAATAACAGTAAATAAAGTTGCTTACATTTTCCCCTTGTAGTTGTCAATAAATGTGTTCGGTGTCTCTGTAGAGGTAATGTCCACTTCAACACTTGGCCATAAAACATACCTCATGAGTAATGACCACAAACATATCTCAGAGGACATGGCTATGAATCGCCAATTCCCAGTCAACTGAAATAAGATATATGATATATGTCAAATGCATATTTCCTTTATGTTTCAAAATGCAACTTTAGCAGTGAGGATGTTGCTTGCCCAGGGAAAAAGAAATGTTGCACAAATCGGTACAGTATATTCAACCTAGATCTGTCTAATAAAACTAAGAAAAATGCAAAGGGAGTTATAAATGTGAAAAAAGACTTACATCTGGAGCCTTGTCCACTGGCTGTAGCAGCTTCTCACAGGCCAGCGGCGCAGGCTGGCACACTGAGGAGAGACTCAGCACAAGAGCAGCGACACAGAGAGTCTTCATTATGGCTGTGATTCCTCTTCATCGCTCTCAGGTCAGTGTTATAAAGATATCACTGACCAATTAATTCTGTGCAATATGCATCCACCCTGTCTGAATGGGTTCAAACTGTACTGATGTAACCCAGAGTGTAAGCATGACGGGAAATCCTTCATGTTTACTTATTACACAAACTGAAATGCAAATACTGCAAGGTTAATTATTTAAAATTTGTGTCACAACAACACGACTAGTAGCGTGTCCTAAATCCATGATACACAGTGATTTAAGGACATTTTAAGAATGTAGGGTATGTACATTGGTTTGAGTATACTTCATTTTGTCACATTTCCAGACAGTTTACATTCTTAAAAAACGCTGCACACTATACTCCAAAAATGAGAGGCACAAAAAGAAAACGTGGAGCAACTAGAGCTGAAACAAAATAAAACATATATTACATATAAATGATGGTCAATCAGCTAAAAACATTGTGATAAAACATAGTGTGACATTTAAAGAAGAAATGCTCCAAAAGTAGGATCTGGATCTGGAAAATAAATATTTCAAGTCATCTTGTAGAATGATCAACTCTATGACTGTTAACTTATAGTATAAATACTTATTAACTATTTGTTTTATTATTTATATACTATTAGAGCGTTGACAAATGGGGCCTTTTTAGAAAAGTCAACATGCTTGAACTATGGTTTTGTATTTTTTGGTTTTGAGAGGTATGAGAGTGCACCTCAAATGACGCAGAGTGCACTGGAAACTCAAAGTATCCTGACTAAAGGAAAATGCATTTCTTGCTTAAATGTTTACCAGAATGCAATGCACCACCTAATCGGCATAAACACGACATCATCTACACTTGTCAAGATGCTTTATACCAGTGGTTCTGTTTGGATGTATAGCACACTATTCAAAGAAGGATGTGGTTTTGTAGCTTCCTCTGTTCTGGCCAGATAGCTTGTTATTTGACACAAATATAACCCACCTCAACTGTGGTTGGATCTTACTTGCAGACTAAATTCACTTTAAATATATTATTAAAATAACTGCTGACAGGCTAAGCACTTCCTTCAAGTTTTCACAAGAGCACATTCCGGCTTCGACAAACACTCAGAGACAATAGACCATCAGCTATCAAACATTAGACAGAGAGTCACAGGAAGCACAATGGATGTGGAGGAAATGATCTACACGTTTTTTGAGGTGCTTATTGCTGTTAGTTGCTGTCTTGGTAATATGTTGGTGATTTTGGCGCTGTGGACCAGTAAAAGCATTCAGGAGCCCACCATCAGTCTTATCGTCAGTCTGGCTGTGGCTGACTTTCTGGTCGGCTGCGTTGCCATACCGATGGCTGTGGTGGTGGACGGACGAGTGCCCACTTCATTTCATGGCTGTGTCTTCCTCAGCTGTGTGGTCGTCCTGTTGACTCTGGTCTCAGTTTTGTCCCTCACGGCTATTTCTGTGGACCGCTTCCTCCGGGTGCATATCCCTCTCTGGTAAGACCTCTTCTGGATCGTTTATTGTGCAGAGAAAAGTAGAACATAGCATTGCCAGGGTCAGGGGTTTAGTACTATCTTATGCTTAAACATCATCTGATATTCTGAACAATCTGTGCTGTTGTATTTGCTGTAAAGTGTCTCTACAGTAGGCTATTTTTATTTTATGTACAGCACTTTGGCTCGACCAAAAATCGTTTATAAATGTGCTATATAAATAAAACTTGATTTGATTTGATCATGCAGTTGTGGTACTTTGAGGAGTTTTAGATCATGAAAATGCTTTGTATTTGTATAATGCCAAAAAGGCTTTGGTTAACATCGTGAGCAGATGATACATTCCATTTATGTACATTAAATGATTCCTTTTGTGTCACTGGTCAGATCACAAAAATAAATGTGTATTTGTTGATTGTACATTTACTGTTTTCTTAGGTACAAAAGGACTGTGACGCAGAGACATTCTTGCCTTGTGGTCGCAGCATGTTGGCTTGTTGCAATACCACTGAGTTTTGCTCCCATGCTTGGATGGTACAACCATGACACCCTGTCTAAGTCAGTAAACTCCACCATTATCTGCAAGTTTATTGCTGTCATCCCCATGTCATACTTGGTTTACTTCAACTTTGTTCTCTGCAACCTGATACCTCTGTTGGTGATGACCGCTCTTTACAGCTACATCTTCTGCACCATCCGAGGAAACCTTCGAGATAAACCAGGCAACGGGGCCCAGAAACAGTGTCAGAAGTACCTGAAGAAAGAGAAACAGCTGGCAGGATCTCTGTCCCTGGTCTTGGCTCTGTTTACCTTGTCCTGGCTCCCTATCCACATTATAAACTGCATTACTTACTTCCGTGGGAATAACGATATACCAGTTGTATATATCCATGTTGGCATCCTGCTTTCTCATGCTAACTCGGCTGTAAACCCAGTTGTGTATGCGTTCAAAATAGAAAAGATCAAGACAGCGTACCTAAAGCTCTGGAGACAGTACATCTCATGTGGAGAAATAAATCAAGGATCTCAGACAAGCCAGACAACAGACAATACTCCAACTTGAACAGTGAGGCTAATAATAAGTGAAGGAAGATTTGTTTGCTTCTTTGTTGTAAGCTTATACTCATATTGTTACATCTAAAAGATCCATACATTTTCTTGGATGTATTTCATTTAGCTTTTGCATGTTTTTAGTTCAGAAATCTTTGTTTTTATAGTTTATCAGTGTTTTTTGATTTGATCAAAGCATTGTAATATGTTTGCTGGACAAGAAATCTGAAGCAGTTCACTCAATTCCTACGAACTGTCTTTTCCTGCGGCGAATGCTTCTTCGCAAAAATAATTAATCTTGATCGACTGGAAACTTCCTGCTTTGCACTAAAGTCAGAGGCAACTGTGTGAGACTGGTCTTGTATGTAAACTTAAAATGTCTTTTTTTTCCGTCTTATTTTTTTGTACAATACTGGAATACAGTGACCTTTTTGTATCCTGATTGCAAAATGCTGTTCAAAGTCTTCCCTTTCTCACCAAGCCCAAATATCTCAACATCTACTACATGGATTACATAGAATTTGGTACTCATGTTCATGTTTCTTTCAGGATGATTGAATCACTTTTCATCCAGTGCCATTATATCTAATGTATAAAATAAAACTAATGACATTACAATGAGCCTTAGCTGTACTTTGGGATTCCAGCTAATCATTTATAAAATGAACATCAGGCAGTATTAAAGAAGGCTTGAAAATAGCAATTAAGATCACATAAACGTTAATAAAAGGTTCAATGAGGTTAGAAATAAAGTGTGTTCAGGGACTTTTTCTCAAAGACTTAAATACAATCAGAGCTTTGCTGCAACCAGGAGGTTCACCCCCTGTTGGTCATTATATAGAATGCAAGGGCACTTTCCAGTGAGCATGCAGATATTCCAACAAGTCCTCCAACTCACACGACCAAATAGGTCGATTGTTCAGCAGCTTATTACGACCTATAGTCACGTTTTAAAGTTTAGCACCTCTAGTGGTCGTGTAACGAAACAACAATTTTCGGCAATTGCAAACGCTCCGGAGGGTCGTTATGGTATATGGTGTTAATGCGATGTGAAATCCGAAAACATAAAAAAAAATTCAAAAATATTACTTTATTCCGAGTGTTCTTGCTTTTTTCTTTGAAAGTTATCACATAACGGCATTGTAATACACGGTTTGGCTCAGTGGCGGCGCTAGGGGGTGGCTATTTGGGCTCAAGCCCCGGATGTTTTCTGAAAAGCCCCGGATGTTTCACTTAAACAATTTTTTTTTTTTAATATTTTGTTTTGAAAATGTCTCGGGAGTAATGTGCAGTACCCAGTGGCGACTGGTCATTAGGGGCAGGTGGGGCACAGCCCCACCTAGTGTCAGCAGAAAGTATTAAAAAAAATGCAAAAAATAAATTAAAAAATATATAAAATATATTTTAAGATCATGTTTAATCATCTGATTCGTCTGTACATTGCTGTTTTAGTCTGTGTTCTTCTAATTAGTGTCTACAGTGTGTGTCTATTGAGCTGTTTAGAGCCATGTGGGACAAAACCCGATCCTGCCCCTCCCTCTCCCTGTTTAAGTCAATGGTGACTGTAAAAACTACACTGCGCATGCTCAGAGTATTGTCCTATTTAATGTGTGTGGCAAAAAAATAATGACCATAGGGGCATAGTGCTGCCATCCCCACCATACGTCATCTCACATAATTCAGAGCTGATTGGCTGTAAGTACGTGTGCCGCGAAAAGTGTGGTGTGTGAAGAGGAGGAGAGAGAGCTGCAGTGAGGCGTCCTACAACCCGGAAATAAACTGCGCATGGCTTCCCTCCACAAAAAAGCAATGATATTTCTCCATAGAATTTTAGAAAATAGCTCCAAATAAGATCTGTGGGAAACAAACCTGTTAGATAAATGCACGTTTTGTTCAGCCGGATAATATCCACATGTCTACCCTACTTTTATAATTTTCGAATCATAAATCTATTGATTAGATCAGATTTATGATAGACTTTTGAAACTACAAGAACATAAGGAGGACTTTTACAAAAAAGTAATAGAGATTTTTGTCCAGAAGGATAGGCAAATGGACTTCATCTTCATGTCAAGGTAAGACTGCAATTTTACCACCGCCATGAAAATGGGATCTTACCAAGAGAGAACAATTCAATATTTAAATGATACAATTACATTTTTTGGGTATCCTTTTGTTGAACTGTCTGTTTAAAATTAATTGAAGCATCAGACAAAAAAAGCTTTTGAAAATAATATTATTTTGATTTAGGTCAAAATATAATATTTGTAAACCTGAAGAGTCAGAGCCTCACCAGCCATGAACCTCACTGCAGAAGCTTATATATAGACATCTAAGTTTTTTGTGCCCCACCACTTTTGTACATATAAAAACGCCACTGGCAGTACCGGAGTCCACCAGAGAGGCAGCCGCTGCGGGACATTAGCCTGCGTACTGCGTAGCCTTCCCTGCCCTGAAGAAGAAGAAGAAGTGATCCTTCCTAGTGCCTGACGAGTTTTAAGCTAATAGCCTATAAAGTTATGGAAAGTTATTAGAAATTTATTTTCATCGAAGCAGGCGCCACAAGCAGCAACAGCAGCAGCAGCAGCAGACAACAATGTCATCACCAGCAGTGAATAAATGGATGATGTTTCAGGTTTGTGAATCTATCTAATGGTGATATATGCACTCTGGCTGACTGAGTAAGAAGTAAGTAAGAATGTAAGAATGTATTCAGAAGTAAAAAAGAGTGATGTACTGTAACGTTAATCTTATAGCTAGTAAACATGGAGTAACCAAGGCAAGGCAAGGCAAGTTTATTTATATAGCACCTTTCAACACAAGTCAATTCAAGGTGCTTTTCAAAAATGAAAGACATTCAGACAAAGGTATTTAAAAACAGTAAAAGATAATAAAAGAAACATTAAAAGAAAAAATACATGAATAAAAAGTTACAGTGCAGTTTAAGATATGAATAGTTCACACAGAAGTTCCACTTTACTGATGAACACAACAGCTCAGTTTCAATTAAAAGCAGCGACAAAAAGATAAACCACACTAAGTCAATACCCTTAAGGCCCTGACACACCAAGCAGTCACCAGAGGACTCGCCGACGTCGGCTGTTGCGTCGCGGTGTTCTCCTGCGTCTTGGCCATAGAGGCTTCTCAATACTCAAATTTCCCCTCCTCGGTTCCCCTCCTCGAGACTTAGACCCGCCCACAGGAGATGCGAGCGGAGGACCGAGGAGGGGAACCGAGGAAAGAGGAGGGGAAGCAGCAGACGTTTAAAGAAATGAGAACTCCTCTCCTCTGAGCGGTCATTTTAAAGCGACGTCCGTTCATTATTACTGGCAACAGCTGTATCAGCTGTCGAGTGTTTTGTCATAGCACTGTATCTCTGTTAGATCAGCTGAACATTGTCCCCCCACATATTTACTTTGAATTCATTGAGAGTGCAGTATAATGAGACAATAACAGGCTACAGATGCGGACACACACACACAAATATATTTATATAAATATATACAATTTAAAGTATGAGAGCACTCTCATAATAACGTAACACAATCAGAGACTGGATATATCCCCCCCTCTCTCTGGTCGCTGAAATGGGGAATTGAAATTACGGGCCAAAAGTTGTATTTACAAGTAGGCCTATTCAAAGTAAGCAGAGGACACCAAACCAACTGAGACCCGTCTGTCCGCCGCATTTACGCACTGTACAACACACACCTACACACTCCTACCACACACACCTACAGCTCCTAAAGCATAAGCCGTTGTGTATTTTATTATGTGAAGCAATGGTCTTAGAAAAATATCGACTCTTTGTTTGTAGATATCTACTAAACTAAAGCAAATAAAGAGAGTAGGCCTGTTATACTGAGTGATATATATTATACACACTGCTCTGCTTTCTGCATGGACCTTACAGCTGTTCTCTCTGGAAACATCGCGACGCGATGAAAGCAGTTTCTAAAATAATATCCAGGGGATGCATGCATAGCTGTCATTGGCTGAGATAAGTCCGGCCGTGCGTCACGCCTCCACCGTTCCCGGAAATGCATCCGTGGAGGAGCCGTGGAGGAACCATCAGTGTATCCTCGGTTAGAGCTCCTCCAGAGAGCCTCCTCGACGTTCGATCCTCGGTGTGCATTTAGAGAAATGAGATGTCCTTCAAAATGGCGCGCTGAAATTCATTTCCGGGTCACTACCGGAGGACCGAGGACCGAGGAGTCGAGGAGGGGAAATTTGAGTATTGAGAAGCCTCTCATGTGTCGCACGGGAACACACCACAAAGACTTCAGTGCGTGAGTGGCAATAACTCTCCTTACCAGCAGGCGGCGGTAGTGTGTATTCGTCATTAAAAATAGGCAACAACCGGAAGACAGAGAAGAAGAACAGACTGCGTGATATAAACAACAACAAATAGCGTGTGCAAACTGCAGCCTGGTTATGATCCACTGCTGTCTGCCCGTCTTTGGTGCTCCACAACTACCCGAAGGGGCAAGTCTCCTGTACCGGGTGTACTGGGTTCGCAGAGAATCCCACTTCTTCCTCAGCTCTTTCTCTGAAGCACACAAATAAACGATGGAAGCATTGTGGCTAGTTAGCATGTCCAATTCATATCTATATGCAGTGCCAAACTGCACAGCTAGCAACAAGATAACAAAACACAAGGAACGACACGCCGACCCCCACGACTCCTGAGCACGGGAGTCGGAAAAGATACTTCCGCCTGTGCGGACCCCGGAAGGGGAGGGACCGGAACAACAGGTCTTAAATCCGTGACAGGGGACGAGGCCGGGGGGCGGCCCCGTCGCGGAGGTCGAGCCAGCACCACAGGCTGGTCCAAGTCCAGGTGAGCAGCCTTCACCCGGTCCACCGAGACGTGCTCGGCCTTGCCACCCAGGTCGACCACCAGGTGCTTGTCCCCGTGCTCCAAGACCCGGAAAGGCCAATCATAAGGGGGCTGCAGGGGGCCTCTGTGCGCGTCATGCCGGATGAACACGTGCTCCGCCGAGCGGAGCTCTGCGAGAACCTAGGACACCTGAGTACCGTGCTGAGTAGTAGGGATCGGAGCGAAGGCCTCAGCGGCGTCCTGCAGGAAAGCCCGCTGGGCCGACGCCGACCAGGGAGCCGATGCGTTAGGGAGGAAATCCCCTGGAACTCTCAACGGCTGCCCGTAGACCATCTCAGCCGTAGAGCACTGCAGGTCTTCTTTAGGCGCAGTCCTCAGGCCCAGCATCACCCAGGTCGGCTTGTCGACCCAATTCCCGTCCTTAAAGATCAAATGCAAAGGTTTTTTTATAATTGCCAGTACAATCGAAATCATATAGCTACAACACTATCTAAGATATTGCAGTATTAAAATCAGAGATAATATGCGTCTGGCAATGCGCAATATTTATTTTGTTCAACCCCCAACACCAAGTCCGACGATTTATTTTCTCAGGCGCTCCTCCGCAAGATGGCGTCGCGTGACGTCACAGTGGCCAAACAAACAAACCTTGGCTTATCGCTCACAGCTGCTTCCGCCGATAGTACAACTTAGTTTCGTTATCATGTCTGATTCTGAGTAGACTATAGACTAAAAGCTTTAGGAATCCAAACTATAACATATAATAAGTACCCTG